ATTATAATGTACTAACTGTACTAATATTTGCACCATCCTACTATGGTTTTACAGATCAAATTTCCAGAAAGTTCTATAGAACATTTTATTTAACTTGTCAATTTGAGCGTTAAATTACGGTTCATATGAAATAACGGAAACATTTATTTGTGATTTAACCGATTAATGTCATAAGTAATAGTACTAAAAATCAGCCAACAAAAAGTGTAGCAATGTTCGTAAATAATAATAATAACCAAAAATTAATCTTTTAGTCCAAAACCATCAATTCATGTGAAATTAGCAAACCTTTAAGAATTTTTTTATTTTACTTTTAATGAATATTTTATTTTAGTATTTTAATAAAATAAGGCAGGGGAACGTATAAAAAAAAATTAAAAGAATAGATTATTAATTACAAGATAATTCTTTTTATTTTTTCCTAATAATAAATCATTTTTTGTTTTTTTTTTATTTGTAGAGATTAGATATTTAATCAATCATCTTTTTTTTATACTTAACTTTATAAAAAAGAATTTTATTGTAGAATAAGATTGTATCAAACGCCTCCGGGAATTCCGTCATTGATGATATAAAGGAAGGCATGTCATAGAAAGAAAGCATGCCATCGGAGCCATTTATGATTCGCGTAAAAAAAAAAAAAAAGAAAAAAAAATTCACGGGACAGGTAAACATTTCCTCAATAGAATAATAAAAATAAAACACCCCAAAAATGACTTTTTATAGGAAGATTTTGATTGTTTTGTTTCAGGATAAAGCAAAAAAAAAAAAAAAAAAAAAAACTTTGATTTCGGACCTAAAATTTTTTTATAATGTATAATTTAATAGATATTTTCTTAAATCGGAGAATGAGTTTTGATTACCAAAATATATACTATAAATGAGTGAATTATTTTCCCCAACATCTGTACAATTTCAAAATTCTTTCACTTAACTATCCTAAATAAAGAGTGATATTTAACGAATGACAAAATACAATCTTTTGTTTGTTCTTCTTTCGAATATTACTTATTTATCATTTGCATAATAATAATGAATTTATGATTTATATTCAATGGCATGAACAATTATAGATATCATTCGCAAGGAACTAGTTTCCTAAATCATTTCGTATTTCTAGTAGTGCATTTTCCACTTAAAACGTGCATGAATCTCTCCTTAATACAAAAATTTTGTACGACCTGTATAACAAACCTCCTAAACTTTAGAATTAGAATACAAATTTGATTTTTATCATACTTATTAATTAAGTATACAAAATAATTATCGTTAATATTTTTTATTAGGATAAACTTGGCTAATTTTAAAATATGTAATGTGCATAAGAATGTGGTTTTTAATAGCCAAATTCATGCATGTAATTATTGAAATTAAGACCAAGCAGCCAAAGTTTATAATCTGGAACATTGTCTTCTAATGCTAATATATAAGTAAAGCAAAAATAAAAAGTTTCAAATGGAATTATTAAATTTACATTATAAAATTTTTAAAAAAATTTTAAAAGTGCCTGAACGAACAAACATTATCCCGTCATAATTCTGAAAATTATTATTTGCTGTTCGTTATTATAAATTATTTTATTATTATAATAAATGGAGGATGATGGTTAATTTAAAGTCTAATATTTTAAGTCAAATTGTGAATATAAATTGTCAAAAGGTAAATCCTCAAATGTTTTTGTTAAATATTTATTTTATTTTTTTTTTTTATGTTTGAAATTGACTTGAAAATGTGAAAGTACGGGATATTATGTAAAATCACCAGAACGAAATATCATAATTTTTTTCGATATATGTATTTTTGAAAAAGAGATTTAATCAAAAAAAACATTTTCACAAATATTTATCCTTGGTAATAATAATAAAAAATTTTAACCAGTTGTTGGAGATCGACTTATCATTGTTTTTTATAATTAGGAAAATTAAATAAAAATAAACAAAAGTATTTTATCTAACTGAAGATTATTAGATAATCTAAAGTTTTTATTTGGGACGATCACATGATTAAGAGTAATTAGAATTTCACATTCACGATATTGTATAAACAAACAATGTGCAAATTTCGTACGTACCGAAGGAGGACAGAAATATTGCACGGTCAAAGAATTAGATAATTTTGTAAATATTTAAATAACTAGCTATATTTTTTAATAACATATTAGCTAACTATTGCTTAATTAAACATTTTGTTCATTGTTCTCTACTTTTCAATTCTTCGCACGTAATAGGTTATCGCTAAAGGACTAATTAATAATCTCCCCCGGTAATGTCCAAGAAATCAATATATTTTCTACTTGTTATTTCGGTAAAGACTTAACTTAGATTATCCATCCCACTGATGATAATCGAAGTGATGCGGCAATTTTAGTAGTGCGAACAAAGTGCAGTTTGCTATCAAAATCTTAAATGATTTTACCTATGTCGTGATTCGCAAACTTTACTTTCTATTTAGAACTTTAAAGATAAGATTTAATTTTATCAATCATTTATTTATTAATGATTTTCGGATTTAGATGCATGTGCATATTTGAAAGGTGAATTAACAAATTTAGAAATCATTCATTATCGTCATGTACCATCGCTCGGACCATTTTTTGGACTGTGCGGAGGTATATGAATTAGTAAGGTTGCCATATAATAGTCCGATGATTTAAAACGTTATTTATATGAGAGGTTTGCTTTTAAAATCCATATGATTTACTATGTTCGTAACTGGATTTTAATAGCAAACCTCCCATATGAGAAGAGGTCTACTGAAAAAATAATTTTCCCATATTTTATTAGTTCACTCATATTTTTTTATTGAGTATTATCGAAATTTTTTTTTTTTTTTATTTTTTTTTTTTCCTATCTTGTTAATCATTGTAATAATAATTTCGGATCTCGCCGTTCATTGATTTTCTCTTCTCGATTTCAATAAATCACGTTGGACAATGATATATAATTGACACGTGTTCTAATAAATAAAAAGACATAAGGGTATGTTACAAACTTCAGATTAAGGTTAGAGATCTAAAATAAATTATCGTAATTAATGAAAAAATTTTTTTGTAAGTTTTACATGGAAAAGTGTATGAAATTCTTTTACGCGATAATTTTGTAATTAATAAAGTCGTATCATTTCTTAGTATTCAAATTTTTTACTCTCCCTATCTCAATGAATCCAATACTTCTTATCGTTTCATCTTAATTTAATAGCTTCCAAGAAAAATGGAATTATTGTCAACAACATAACGATGTAAAATATTATAACAAGAATAAATTACAAATTAATAATATCTTTTTATAATTCTCAATAAAGTACGAAAGAAAAGTTCTGACATTGGAATCAATTTAAATCAACTTGTTCGTTGTTCGTAATAAGGTATTCTTTCGAATTCCTTTTTGATACGTTCTTTTTGATCTCGAACTTTTCAAAAGTTGTGAAAAATCTAGAGCTCTAAAAGGTGTCACATTGTTTCTAAATAAGAGGATCCTTATGCTCATTCGTTATGATATGAGCTTTTTTATATTATGAACTAGTTAGTATAAATATCATATGGGGCTTCAATAGAAATGCATCGTACAACATAATAAATTATTAAGTAAGTTAGCAACTTGTGAAATCATCAAGTTTTATTTTTTGAACTCAAAGTAAAGGTCAAATTTATTTATTCGGATTCCAATTATAAATTGATCGATTTATGGAAACTACCGGGAAAAAAAGCAAGATTTTACTTTACTTTATAAAGTAAGATAGCAAATTTATTTTTTTTTGCGACAAAACTGCTTAAAAAGTCCTATTATCAGAAATGTTTCTGAATTATTCTTTTGAAAATTTATTATTACATTAAATTTGAAATATAGTCAGTCGACATTTTGTTGAGATTGTTTCAATTTTAAATTAATTGAAATTCAAATTCCTAATCGAACCGAAATGTTAAAACAATTTTTTAGTTCTTGAGCAGACACTTCCTACTTATGGTCAAAGATAGAGCTAGTTATGCTTCAAGCCCAGAACACTTTAAATAAAGGCATTATAAATAATTACACGGATTATACTTTGGCCGTTAAGTAATTTGCAACAACAAAAGTTTAATTATCTGAACCGGATAATTATAACGTAACTTCACCAATAACTTTGCAGCAGATGCATTGATTCGTTAGATTTTGCCATGAAGTGGCATCAATGCGTGAACTATGAAGTTACTATCTATTACAACTTTATTACAAATGCTATCATTGCTAAATATTAACACTGCTATTGTATTATTAATTCAAATAGCAAAGAGATATGCAAGATACGTGTTGATTATGCGTAAAACAACCATCTAAAGTTTCCTAAACTAAACCGAAATCCTTCTAACAATTCGTTTGTGCTAAAAAAAGTTGTTAGATGCTGAAATTTTTTCTCAAAAATATATTTTTAGAATAGTAAGACAAAAATTTTGGCGCTTATTTAAAGTTCAATCGGGATAATGATAATCAAATGCATAGAGTGCGGAACTTTTTTATTTGAAAATCTCCGAAATGAAAATTATGCCATCATTGCAAATCATAATTTATCTTCGTTAAAATATTACATTTATATAACCCTAAATATAGAATAATAGTAGTACGTGATGGTTTATAATGATAAAAAAAAAAAATTCTTTTTGATATATACTATCAAATCATTCTGCAGCTTGTAGATTGTAAGGAAAAATTTTTATTTTATATAATTACATTAAATTATTATTTGAATAAAGAAAGGTTTTCTCATTCCATTGTGTGTAAATGAAAATGAAAGCATCTTTTTAAAAAACGGACCTTTCAAATGAAAGACTCGATAAAGATTCAAAGCAAAAGTTTTAGGTGATAGGTATCGACTCCGAACAATCCAAAAGACTTTCCTTAATTGAATGTGATACGGGGGTTATCAACCACAAATGGTTATCTTTAATAACTTTCAAATTTGCCAAAAACACTATATTTATGAATCAACTTATTTTCTTACAACAAAGAAACAAATATGTTAACCTTTCATATCACAACTAGTTGCTCAAGCAGAATCTCCGTTAATTTAATCCTAGTTTGATTATCAATTGTAACAATTTTAAAATCTTCCTTGTTCAAATAAATTGTCGCCTTTGGTGATACTAAACTAATTGTATAACTTGAATTTCTTTTATCTTCATGAAAGAAATCAATCCTACTTCCATACTAAAATTATGTAAAAAAAAAAAAGTATCAGTATCCCTCTTTTAGTTAATTTCAATAATCACTTAACGGTTAATATTTTGTACTAAACTTACTATTTGTTCAGTTAATTCATTAATTAATTTTACAACATTAAATTCTCCAAAAATATATTTTTGTCGATTTAATGAATTTGTTGCCTTTGTCAATGACGTTTTTGTATTGTATATGCTTAAAGTTCCACCTAAGGACGCTATTAACGAATCATTTCCAAAATTGACTGGTTCAATAACTGAGGCAAGCTACACAAAGGAAATTATTGATTTCTATGTTAGAATATTAAATGTACAACAAAAGGAACAACAATAAATAACAACTCACATCCTCTGTCATAACTGTTCTAACGAATTGTGAGTTAATTGAAATATTAACAATGTCTAAACTCTCATACAAAGTAATTAATGAGTTTGATAAGTTCTGTTTTATATTATCCGCATCTCCAATGATCTTATGAGGAAATAAAACGTGTTGAGGTTTCTTTTCTCTCAGCATATTTATTACCTCACTGACAGTTAATCTAATGTCGATTGGAAGATATGTAGGCTTTATTTGTAACCCTTCAAAGGCAGACATAGCTTCTATATAATCATACTCCGATTCTTTTAAATTTCTTTAATTAGTTTTACGAACAATGTAAACGATAATTAAAATGTAATCATTTGCTACACAAACCTATAAATATTATTGAATTATTCGCATTATTCCCCCATTTTCTAATAAAATTTATCGCAGCACCACTACGTAAAGAAGGATGCCCAGCAAAGACCACACATGGCTCCTGATATTTTTCTTGAAGTGTACTATCAGCCCTAGATGCATAATATAATGTCATCTGTTCAATCATGTCTTGATGGGGCATCGGATTATCCGGTAGATACATTTTTTGCTGTCTCTCTGTACACATCCTTATTACACAAAATAAACATGGTTATTAGCATCAAGGTGATCAAATATACCATGATTAAATAAATAAATATTACTTACCATTCCCCACATATATTAGAATATTTTAGTGATTCTTCCGCTATGGGCGATACTGCATAGAACGGAATACCACGTAATCCCATAGCTTTCAAGTGTTGATCCAAAAAATCCATTATATCAAAAATAATTCCATTCATTGTACAAGGAAATAAGACATTTCCTTTGTTTTTTAAAGTATTTGCTGATCAAATGTAACAAATTAGTTGTTTTTATATTTATATAAAAATTTAATGCATCATTTAATCGTACCAACACATTGACCAATTTCCATAAGAATGTTTTCAAATCTAGAGCTATCCTCATCACGCAAGTCGCTAAGGATAACAACGTCAACATCATTAAATACTGCTTCATCAAATGGCAAAGGATGTATCGGTATCGTGGAAGATGATGATATTACGGCAATCTACATCAAGAGAGATATTTTATTTATTTTATTTTAATTTTTAAATTTTTTTTTTTTTTTGAATTTAAGAATTAAACAGTAAACTACCTTTTCTCCACCACAATCGATCATCCAATTAGCGGCACCAAGACAATAACCTGAACTATACGCAGTAACTTCAAGTTCGAATAAGTTCTACCAAGTATGTCGGAGATTACCTTAATACGAATAATAATATATTAAAAAATATAAATAAAACCTACCAAATGCTCTCCAAATCTTACGGGTCTCACTTTATCAATACATGATTGAATGTCCGCTATTGAATATAAAGATCGTGCAACATTCCAATCCGCAGTAACACCCGAGAAAATGTTCGTGGACCCGGGTTGTGAATGAGTTCGACTTAGAAGTGCGCTGTCACCAAAGAAATGCACTAATTCTTTCATCATTTGTCTAAAAGAATAAATAAAGCTATAAATTAATAATAATTTCAAATGATATGAATAATATTGAAGATTGAATAAACATTTTACCGTGCAAATAGGACAGTAGGTTCTGTGGCGTAAATCTTTCCTTTGAAGTCCGTATATTCGGTAATATAAGGTAAAGCCAGCATATGATTGTAATTAGTTATAAATATGAAATCTATATTATTCCAGTCGATGCTACTAAATTCCGGTGTTTCCACCAAAAATTGACCACGTCGACGAACTCCACTGCCAGAATTTCCACCATCGCCAGTTGAATCTATCAAATGATCCAATTTACGACGTTTCCTGTCGTGTTCCTTATTTTCTAAAAGAACATTGGACGGAGTAGCATCATTGGAGGAAGATGTAAGATCTAAATGATCTAACGTGCTAGAAGGGTCTTCAACGGTAATTGATATATGTTGTTGTTGAGCTTTTGAACCGATAATATCACGAGGCGGGAATTCTAAAAAGTATGAAGTATCTAGACCACAATCAATTAAAAAATTCATCTGCATTAATTTGATTAAGAAGCAATTTTTTCTTAAATTACAACTTAATGGATGCTAATAAATAAAAGAAAGTTTTTTTAATTAATTTTTTTTGTTGACCTTTTAACTTAAACTGTTTAAATTTTAATACCTACCAGCTTCATTTTTAATGATTTAAATTAAGTAATGATTTTTAAACTGGAAAAGAAGTTTGAAGATTTGTTTTTTAAAAAAAAGGTCTGGAAGATTATCGAGGTGAGAAAATTTCGAGGTATTTATACAAATTTTTAGTGTGGCAAATCAGAGTGGCTCATTTTTCGAGTGGCTAATCATCAAATCAAATTCTCAAGTTCGACACAGATCTTGAGAGAAAGAAAAATAAATAAATTATAAAATATACTGGACTGAATGTTTGATGATAATGACGTAGTGGCACATTTTTTTTTATATATATAATTAACTTCGTAAATATATTTCTATTGTTACTAATCTTCTTATTTTCGTCTTTGCATTGCATTTTAATAAATTTACCGAAAAGATGTCAGACCAAAGAATTCAGAATGTGATTTAGAATAACATTCATTAAACTTGTTTTATTTTATTTTTTATTTTAGCAAGGAGAACAATTAAAGTATCAATTATTTTAAAAATTGAATCAAGTAGAAATCACTGTTTATGTCACAAATTATTGGATAAATCTTTAGTAAAAAAAAGGAAATTGAAAAGATTAGTGATATGGATAAATTAGATCAGCAATTACGTTTCTTTAAAATCTCCTTTAGTTGAATCCAATATAAATAAAGAACTTCTCAAAATTTAATTTCATAAGTTTCTATGCAACCAGATCATTTTATCTTTTTTTTTCGTTTTTTTATATCTGTTTTTTATTTTTAGTTTTTCATTTTCTTTTCTTTTTCTTTTATTTTTATTTTTCGTTTTCTTTTTTTAAGTTTTCGTTTTCTTATTCTTTTTTTTTTTCGTTTTTTTTTTGTTTTTTTAATGTAAAGTGGAGGATTGGCTAATTTTAATATAAAATTTTTGATATTGCCGATAATAACAAAAAGACTTGTTTGTCGTGAAAGAATTTTGATATCACGTGACCAGATAAAAAAAATAATATAAAATAATATAAAATACAATCAAATATTCTGCATATAAAAGTAGTTAACAAACAATCAATCTCGGAAAATTAATTAAAAATCGATACAGTTGTTTGTTCAAAAAGTAATATAGGTATTCTGTTTTTAGAGATTTGTGTTGTTATTTCAATTAACAAGAAATCTTTAATAAAGTTATTATTCCTTTAATTGAAAAGGTTAAGATGCATCTTGGAATGTACAGACCATTTATGGGGCTATATTTCCGCCATATATAAGATCTTAAAATTTTTCTTGACGTTAAAATAAAAAAATTTTTTGGATAAAAATAAAAAATTTTTTATATCACTGCTGTCAATAACATGTGCGCAGAATAAACAAATGTTTGTGGGGTAAGGTAATTACGTAAATTCATGAATTTATTATTTTTCCTTAATTGGATTAATTTCTGCTAAACAATTCCTTGTTATAATAATATAAGTAATGTATAAGATATATCTATCAATTAATCTATATTTTATTTATTTCATTTCTTTTATACTTTTTCATTAATCAATAAATTTATTTATGATATGGGACCTTTGCAATAGAAAGGGGAAACTGCCGGAAAAAATGAATTTTACTTTTATGCAAGATTTAGCATTAACCATTTTTTATTTTTTTCCAGTCGTTTCCCTCTTTTTATTGCAAGGGTCCCATATAACGATAGTGTCTTTTATAATCCCTTTTTTTTTTATCTTTGGTGTATTTTATTAAAATTACCTAATTATCGCTTTATCTGAAAATTAGAGCAAAGATAACATCGATTGACTATGAGACGAGATCTATAAGCAACAATCTACTAAATTTTTTTGAAAATTTTGAATATTTTACTATGATTATATTTATGCCATTATAATTTTTAAATTTTAAGCTTTTGTGTTTATTTATTTTATTTTTAACTAAAGAAAAGCTTTTTACGAAAATAAATACAGATATACTGATGTTGTTATCATTACAAAATGTTTTATTATATATTGATATTCGATAAATTTTATTTCCCTACCTTATATGAACATATATACCGGTATAATTTGGAAACGTCGGACACATCGTTATATCAAAAAATATAACAACTTTGTTATTATCACATCTTAAATAAATTATGATTTACCAATTGAATCCCAATTCTGAGAAGGCTCAGAGTCACAACTGTTGTAATCTAAATAATTTATATTGTTACTGTAAATTCAATTGGCAATCCAATCTATCCATAAATAGAAATTCATCAATGGTCTTTCAAGTTGTCCTAAATTAATTATTTCAATGATCAAATAAATCACAACACATTTTTTAGGTCTAATTTGAATATAAATAGGTACCTCCTTCAGTCAAAAGTCAAAATATCAATTTTATAATTTAGACTCGTCAAAAAAGCCAATATATCAATTTTTAATTCACGTGTGAAGATTTCCTGTATTACATACGACGTATTCGATTACATTTTTTTTCAAATGATTAACTATTTTGAAAATATTGTTGATGAAGTGAAGATAAATATCTTCAAAAATGTTGAAACT